CCCCCCCCCCCCCCGGGAGGAGGGGGCTGGCACCCCCTGCAGGGCCGGGGTGCTGAGAGCGATCGAGCTGCGCTGCCAATCTTGTGTGCGGTGGGAAGTACCAGCACCTGGGATCTCCCACGCTTGCCTCCCAGCTGGGGGCCAGGCCGGGTTTCCTAGTGGCTCCAGATAGCCCCCCAGGAAGAGCTCCGCTTCCGCCCCCTCTGGAGGCTGGGGCTGGCCTCAGTGGCAGTCCAAAGCAGGGCCGGGGTGCTGAGAGCGATCGAGCTGCGCTGCCAATCTTGTGTGCGGTGGGAAGTACCAGCACCTGGGATCTCCCACGCTTGCCTCCCAGCTGGGGGCCAGGCCGGGTTTCCTAGTGGCTCCAGATAGCCCCCCAGGAAGAGCTCCGCTTCCGCCCCCTCTGGAGGCTGGGGCTGGCCTCAGTGGCAGTCCAAAAGTGGGGAGGGGGGGAACAGACCGTGGCCTGCCCCCGCTGTAAACTTTACCAGGTTTCTTTCCACTCCCGCTCCTTCCTCTTGAGGAGGGGGCCAGCCCTTTCTCCTGGAATCAAGCCCTTCTCCAAATGGGTGGCTTTTATTCTACCCTCCAGGGCTTCTGGTGGTGTCTCTTCCTGTGACCTCTCTCTCCCTCCCCCTTCTCACTTCCTTTTATTGTGCTCATTTAAAAGGATTGGGCTGCTCTCGTACAGCATTGGAATGTTCCTAAAGTTAATAGGGATGGAGTTGCATGCACATCCTGTCCGGTCCTTCCCCCTCCAGCCCTCCTCTATTCCTCAATCAAACAGGTTTTTATTTATGCTATTCCCTTACTGCTGGCACCACCCTGCTTTGATGGTGTTCCTGCGCGGCTGCTCTGCCTTCTTGCACACGATGAGACTGAGATGTACGCAGGAGATGGGTCTCCACTGGGTCTCCCTTTTTGTGTGTGTGGTTCATCTGGGAGGTGGTGACTGGGCCTTGGATCGGCAGGGCTGGTTGCTTGGAATGGTGCTGTGAAACTGGGCTAGGGTGTGGAGACGCGCCGGAGGCTTGTGCGTCCGAAAGAACAGCCGGAGTATCACGTCCCTTCCTCAGGTGTCAGCCAGCCAGCTGCGTGTGTCTGCTGTGCTTTCGCTTCCTGCCCGCGGGGTTCAGGGCACAGCGAGACAGCCATGTGACCTGACTAGCTCCTCCTGCACCACTGACTGCTTCTCTTCGTAAGCCAGAGGCCTGGTCTACACCTAAAGCTTAGGTCGACCTGTGTCCCTGGGGGGCTGTGAAAAACTTCATGCCCTGAGCACTGTGTGTGGTTAGGTGAACCTAACCCCGGGTGTGGAGGTGGACAATGACAGAAGGACTCATCCCTCCACCTAGCTATTGTGGATTAATTAAGATGATGCCACAAAAATCTTCCATCTACGCCACGGCACTACAGTGGCATGGCTATTGTGTAGACCTGGCCTAGACAGGGAAGAGACCTATGACATCCCTGCACAGATATCCGCAGTTTCCCAGTGCCCCATAATGCTGCACTGAGGTTGCCTATCAGAGCTGCTGCAAAAACTGGAAGGGGTTTAGCCCAGAGAAGCTGCAAATCTATTCATGCAGCTTCCTGGATGCTGGGTAGGACCATCTACAAAAGGATTTGTGTTTCTAGCCTACTTCCTGGCTCTCTTTTCCTGCAGGGTAACACAGCTCTGCCAAAAACCTCGCTACTGGCTCAAAATGGGGAGATGGGACCCTGAATTAGCACAGTGGGGTGAGTCCTGCCCCATGCAGCTGCTGGAGAGGGGTTTCTCTGTGGGGCAGAGGGAAGTATGTTGTGAGTCCAAAGCTCTGCATGGCCAGATTTTCAGAGACAGATGCTCAAAGGATGTATCACCTCTGAGAAGCATCCTGGCTTGGAAGGTACCCAAGTGACCATGAATTTAACTTTTAAAAACAAACCAAAACATTAGGGCTGAGCGAGAGAATCCTTGAATAGCTTTTGGCTGTAGTGAGTAATGCATAGGGGTGTTTACATGAGGCTGCGGCTTCTGAGGTTTACTAACTCGTGAGTCACTTCCACAACTGAACATGAGCCCATATGCACTTTTTTTAAAAAACCTAGAAGGCCTGTGCATTCAGGATGCGTGTGTGGTTTCCTTGGGCTTTGATCCCACTATGCAACTTGTTTAGGAATCTGAACTTCCCATTTTGGGCTGTAGCAGTGAAGCCCTGGCGAGGAAGGCTGCATGGATGTCACGACGGGGTGAATTGTGCTGGTGTGAATTGGAGCAAAACTACCCATTGCTGAGGGTAGCCCTCTGTAAAGGGGACCCTGTGTGGTTGCTACAGCTGAGAGAGTAAATGGAACTGAAGCATCTTCAAAACCATTGTGTCTTGTTAGCGCTGCAAAGGCATTGCTAGAGATTTAATCTCTCTGCACAACCGCTTTCAGTGCTAATTAAATGGGCTCCCTGTTTTCCTGGGGGGTTGCGATCAGGTTCCAGGGGGAGGTTGCAAACCTCCTCTTTCTTTATAGCTAGGAGGAAGGTCCTGAAACACTTCTACTGCTGTAAGTTGATGGAATGGGGTCAGATCAGTTTGGAGAAGGTAGAAAACCACTGCCCAAGTACAATGGTCCAGAAGACACACACATGTGATACTTACAGTATATCTGTGCTGCAATTCCAGGACACGACTGCAGCTTATGTTGATGTACCAGAGCTACTTTTAATCTGCTTTTAGCACGTGGATTTGGCGCCGTGAAGTCGCAGTACCACAGGCTGACCACCTCAAGTAATTGATCTGGGTTCTAGGCAGCCTCATATAGCCCATGCCCCTGCTGCTTGGATTAAAGCTAGCTGAAGTATGTATAGGTGAGCTGCATTAGCACCCTGGGACTCACTGAACTACAGGAGGCCTTGCAGAACTGGGACCAAACCAAGAAACGTTGCACCCAAATCTTTAGGAGAAAAAATTGGGAGCAAATTGTGAAGACCTCTATTAAAAAATGCCAGGGTGGTGGTGCCCATTTGGTCAGATCTCAGCTAAGGATGGAAGCGACTAGTCGACTACCCGATAAGCAAATGCTTAGCGGGTAGTCGAGTAGGAACACAACTAGTTGGTTCCCCTCCTCTCCCCTCCACCTTGCTGCCTCTATCAGAGAGAGCCAGCAAGGGGGGAGCACAGGCTGGTGCTGGGGGGAGTCAGCTTAAAAGCCAGTTTCCCCGCCTCCCCAGCACCATCTCCGCGGGGGGCAGTGAAGGCAGCGGGGAAATGGTGCGAGCGGGGATTGAAATGCCCCACTTGTGCTGGTCCCACTGCTGCTCGTCTCCCTTTGGAATGTACAAGACTCTTGTACATTTCAAAGGAAGAGGCACAGAGGGGAACCCTAGCCAGCTGCTTTGTTCCCCACTGGTGTGGGTTTCTGCTGCCTCTCTCCCTTTGAAATGTACAGGAGCTGCCCCGGCTCTTGTGCATTTCAGAGGGAGAGAGGCAGAGGGTGCCTCTTGTACATTTCAGAGGGAGAGGCTCAGTGGGATAGTGAGCATCCCCCTTATCAACTAGGCAATGGAATTTCCATCGACTACTCGATTAGCTGATTAATTGAAATTTAACATCCCTAATCTCAGCCCGCTCCCTCCTCCAGCAAGGAGAGCATAGGCATGGTGTATACCTAGAGGTTCCATCTACACTGGAGACTTCTTGCGCAAGAACTCTTTTGCGGAAGAGTTCTTGTGCAAAAAATCTTCCACAAGAGAGCGTCTACACTGCCATGTCCTTTTGCACAAGAGCTGTGCTTTTGCGCAAGAGCGTCTATGGCAGGTGTGGACGCTCTCTTGCACAAGAAAGCTCTGATGGCCATTTTAGCCATAGGGGTTTCTTGCACAAGAAATTCATGTTGCCTGTCTACACTGCCCTCTTGTGGAAGAGCTCTTGTGCAAGAGGGCTTATTCCTCATGGGGAGAGGAATAACTCTTCTGGAAGAAGCCCTGTTTTACAACGCTGTACAGTAAATTTACTTGCGCAAGAACATGCAGTGTAGACAGACGGCAAGTTTTTGCGCAAGAACAGCTGTTGTTGCGCAAGAAGCTGCCAGTGTAGACATAGCCAGAGAGAATGAAATTGCCATAAGGCCACTACTATTGTCTTTAAATATGCAGGGGACCGAACAGACAGACAGACAGACTGCTCTGAATTTGGTTGTTCCAAGACTGGTCCTGTAGCTGTTACCACAAAGGGGCGTGGCTGTATATACCGATTAACCAAGGTTTTAAAAAAAAATTAAAAACCATGAATAGTCCTGCAGCACCTTAGAGTTGAACAAAAAATGTGGATGGTATCATGAGCTTTTGAGGGCACAACCCACTTCTTCATATGAATGGAGTTAAGGTTGTGCCCACAAAAGTTCATGGTACCAACTACATTTGTTGTTCATCTCTAAGATGCTGCAGGACTGGCTGGTGGTGGTTGGTTTTGTGACTTTTTTTTTTTTTTTTTTAAATCAGTTACTCTCACACCTCTGAAACTTTACCAAGGTGCTGGATGGAAATCCATTAGCCCTAGGTGGTCTAGGCACCATAAGGGCTTCCCTTGTGACCGGCTGAGGGGGAATTTGCTGACTGCTCTGGGGCAGATTTAGATGCTGGCGTTGCTTGTTTTCGTGAGCTCAGGGGTTTGTTTCCTGACTGCTGATGCTCCTTTTGGAATTGGACCCCTTCTAGTTGCTGCTGACGAGGAGGTGGCATTGTTCTGAGCACTGGTGGCTAGCGGCTTAGCCACTGGGAAACGGACTGACTTTGTTGAGCAGGGATGGAGGCACACAGAGAATTCGGAGGGAGGAGAGGGGTTGCCGGGGGTCTCCAGGTGCCTGCAGTAAATGCAGGGGGCACTGCACAGACGGGGGAAGGGATAACGGGAGCAGCAGCTGTGGAGGACAGGGTGCAGGAGAACCCTACCCCCACCAGTGATAGCAGCAGCTGGAGACAAGAAGCATGACAACAGAGAGGCGCCTAGGCCTCCACGGGGAGTCGGGGGAGAGAGGCTGCCTTCTGCCAGGTTTGAACAACTGCCCCAAGGTGACCTTTGCATCAGCCCCCTCCTGCAGAGGAGACAGTTTTGGCTCCAGTGCTGCAGAGGGGTTACTCAGACTAGATATTTGGGAGCAGGCGCTGTCTCTGGCACTGCGTCTGTACAGCACCTAGCAACCTGTCAGGCTAGAACTTCTGCCACTCGTCCGGTTCCTGATTCCTGGCTGGATGTGAGAGTGGCTAGTGCAGGATGCTCTGTCGGTTTCAAGGAGCAGCCTGTGACTTTTCGAGGGACAGTACGGAGATGTGGGAGAGCATCAGGCTGTCTGGACCAGAGGAGCCAGGCACTCTGACTAGGTCAAGGAGCAGGTCCTGTGTCTGTCTAGAGGTGGGGTATTATTGGGATCATCGTGAGACCCAGCAGAGTTAAAGGAGGGCCTGCCGGACAAGGCGCTGGTCTGGGATTTAGAAGATGTGAGCTCCATTTGTGACAGCCACAGACTGAGTGTGTAACCCAGGGCAGGTTTCTTCATCTCTCCACGCCTCCATTGTCCATCTGCACAGCAGGGTTAAATAACCCGTCCTCTGTCGGAGGCTGAAACAATTAGCCCGGGGGCTGTCTTGCTTTTGCGCATGTAACAGCACCTCCGGCTCTGCAGTACAAACAGAAGCATCAATGCTCTCTGGAGTATTCTCCCCTGAAGCCTTAGGGAAGCGTTGCCGCCACGTTGCACAGGAGGAGGATCGCTGGAATGATAGAATTGGGAGCTACCGAGACCATCTCCCTACCCAGGCAGGATTATTCCCTGGGGTCCTATCTCTGCAGCGTACTTTTCCGTGCTGTAAGTCATAGGGCTCCCCCCACTTTGAGTGGGGAGTAGGGATGCAAAATCCCATTTAAAATGTGAACCAGTTAACTGACCTGTGGCATGCCAGGGTGGTTAGCTGGTTACCCGGTAAGCATGCTGGTAAGGCAGAGCTTACCAGATAACTGGTTACCCCTCCATATCCTGAGGGTGGAGTCTCCCATTAGTCTTCCTGCCTCTTGCTCTCGAGGCTATTTACGATAGTACTGTCTGTGCGTGTTGACGCTCCTCTAAGTAACTAGCGAGTGCATGAAGGGAAGGTTTGCAGGTCGGCACGGGGCGCAGCAGGGGGAGACGATATGTCATTCGCTCCCTCCTTCGCTGACACAGCAGGGCGGCGTGTGGACAACCAGCTGCAATGGACAGGGCTCAGACTTCCCCACGGGGGCTCTGATTTGGGGTGCTTGCAGAGGGGTGGGCAAACGGCGAGGCCCAGACAGCTTTGTGTTCGGAAGGAAACCCCACCTCTTCTCGCGCTGCCGTTCCCCGAGAAAGGTATTGCTGACGGATCCCTCGCCGCTTGTTGGTCTGCCGTCATCGTGGGGGGAGAACCGGCAAGGGGGAGACAAGGGTCTTACGGGACACGGCAGAGGACCAGTGGACTCCAGTTTGTGATTCTGACTGCATGGCTTTCCCATGGGCTGTGCCTGGGACCCTTCCCCCCCTCTGTGCCCCCATCACTATGGTGGGGATGCTCATGTCACCAACGTAGAGACCAGCATTGCGCACTTACCCTCTCTCCTTCTCTTGTCCTTTCAAAGAAAGACGATGAGTGAATCTAGTGCAAAATCCAGCCAGCCCTTGGCTTCCAAACAGGAGGAGGACGTGTCTGAGAAGAGAGGACGGGGGCGACCCAGGAAGAAGCCTCAGGTATGGAGAACTGCTTTCTTCCTTGTTCCCAGAGAGGAGATCCATGGGGAAGAAAGGGAAGAACAAGGCCCCTTCCTTACAGACTTTGCAGCCTGGGAGGCCCCGCCTGCCAAGCTCAGTCTGGTTGTTAGTGAAGGACTGGGATCCTGGGTTCTCTCCTCAGCTCTGCCGCTGCCTTGCAGCCACCTTGGGCAAGTTACTTAACAATATGGAGCTGCTTCCAACATCAGCGAGGACGGCTGGATCAATTCTTACTGAGCTTTCATCCCCAGACCGAGCACGGGGCAAAAAAAATAGCCTCTATTGCTGGGTAAGATTAAAGTCTGGCTTCTGAGCGAGGGCCATTTGGCCCTCTCCAGCAGGACCTGAGGCCAAGGCAAGGAGAAGAGGCAACAATAAAGCACAGACAGAAGGGACTTTAAGGGAAAAGTAACATTCACCCTAGGGATGAACAGTACAAAATAACTGGGGTTCCACAGAATATATTCACTGGCATTGGGAATCATGCCATGGGAGCTAACACATGCACACCTTGTCTTCCTGCTACAAACGTAGAAACCCTGGCTCTCTTTATTACATGTGGCTAGCAGGGACCTCCAGGAACTTCTTACAGAGTAAGGGGATGGAAAGATATCTCCTTTCCCAATGCCTTCCCTCTCTGCTTCTCTTCTCTGCTGCAGTTGTGGCTGCATTTCTGTAGGCGTATGGTTTTTGAGTGACTTGGAATTGTGTAAACATAACATTCTGCTCCTGGCTGTGCCCACGGTCCTCGGGAAACTCCAACTAAGCACCAGCTGTCTGAACAAAATGACCACAAAGGTTTTAGGTCCAATAGGGAAACCTGCTGGGATTCCTTTGCAGTTCTACCTCTAGTTCAGCTGAATTGATGGGAGCCACCCTATAGGTAAGACTTGTGCAGCTGGCCCCATTTTTATGATCCTGACAACAAAACCTGCTTTTCAGCACGTTTCGTTCCCCAACACTGACTAAAAACACAAACGCTGTCTCCTCTGCACTAGGGCTCCCGCGAGTCCGGTTGAACCACTGGGAATTTCATTGTATAAGTTTCTCTTGTGTCCGGCCCAGCTGCTAACTCTCTGATTTCTCTGCCGTGCCGCCAACACAATTAGTTCGCAAACCATGTATAAGTTCTTACGGCAGAACCTGAAACAGGATTGGCTAAACCTGCACAGAAGGGAAAAGTCCCCTATTCACCACCTGGAACTGCAGCCACTAACTAGCAACCAGTAGTCTGCTCAAACTGGGGAACTTTAGGACCAGCTGGGTTCAGCTGACGATGGTGTAGTGCCTATGTAGATGAGGCCCTCAAAGCATTGTGCTAAGCAGACATGTTACAGGTGCACCGAAAGAGCACGCAGCAAGTTGGTGGCAAAACAAGGAAGGGAACTCAGGTGTTGCAAATTTCCCTGTTCTTTTGGGTTTCTTGGGGTCAAAGTGCAGCGTCTGCAGGATTCCCATGTAGCATTCTAATTTCTGGAGCATATCATTCCTTTGGCCCTTTTATTGCTGCAATATTAGCTCCAGCATAGACCCAGGGAGCTGGGGAAGCACAAGAAATCTCGAGCACGTCTCCTTCAAAAGCGCAGCACTTACATCTGAGCTCAGCCAGGGCCGTTTCTCCACATGGACACCAGCCTAACTAAGAGCAGCAACTGCCCTGAGCCAGCTGCTCCTTCCTCTTCCGGCTGGTGGAATATCTGCCGAGCCGGGCCGGGATTCGGGAGGTGGGGGCAGGGCGGCCGGTGTTGGATTACTGGCTTGCTAATAGCTGCAGCTATAAACAGAAAGCGCCTGGGTATTAGACACTGTGGCTGTGACATCAGTATCTCCTGGTGGAATGCATAATTCACAAGATTGGGATTTTTATCAGTCTCTCGGCATTGAAATGTCAGGGGGCTCCTCCCTGGGTGATGGACTCTTGGGTTAAGTTTTTTAAAGGGAGATACCCTGGTACCTGCTCCAGAAATCAGTCCTGTGCTGTTCTCTCTTCGGTCTCCAAATTGGGGAGGAAAAGCAGCCTCTTCTGGGAAGGATCAGGCCTCCTCCCTCACCCCTCCAGCCACCAATGGGCCGTTCCGCCAGAAGTCCAGTCGGCTTTGTCCCACGTCCCT